CTCAGATTCTCCAGCATCTGAAGTTCCTACTATCTCTGAAACAAAGGGTTTGGAGACGAGCTGTCTGCTTCCAGCCAGCTCTTGATAAAGGAAACCTCTAAATCTGTTTTGTTAAACCGAGTGTTAATGCTTTTATAGTTACCACATTAACTTGCAATGGAAAATCTAATAGGAGAGGTAAGGTTACACTGTTTAGCCCAACAAGATGAGCCCTCAGCACCTGAAATGCTCAACTATGTCACATGACTGAAATCTGAGCTTTCCGATTGGTTTAGTTCACAGTTTCAGGTCTCTAAGTCAGGTACAGTGTTTCCTCCACAGGATCAGCAGGGTCAGTTGATCGCCTGCCTCAAATTTTTCCATCTATGTCACCAAGTTGCTAGCTAGAAAGAAGCTTACACTTTGCCTGCAAGAAGGAAAAGAGGAAGCTAGAGAAACTCAGCAGGTCTGGCATCATCTCTGGAGACAAATGGAGTTATTGTTTCGAGCCTAATAAGACTCTTCTTCAGAAAAGCTAGTGGGTCTAGCTCAGTAGGGTAACTATTGTTAGACACTGGCTTCTGAGAGATTGTCTCTCACATGAACTGATATTTGATACCTCTGGATTTGGTAAAACTCTAAACTCTTCTCCTATCCTGTCTTCCTTAATTTCTTGAGTGCTTGTGTGAGAATGGAGGAATAAAACAATCCCTTTACATTTTGAATGTTTTGTTAATTACCCCAATCTTTGTGACAGCAGGGTTTGGAGAATACTCTTCAGCCTACTTTACTAAGGAATGGGAGTAAGAAGGTAAATCCAATAATGCCATGCTGTCTTGGTCTTTGGAGGGTAAAAGCAATCATTACCTGAATTTACCTGATTCCTGCTTTGACAGTGACAGCTGTGATGATTGGCCTCCAATAACCATGACTATTTTCCTTTGTGTCAGGCATCCCATAGATTTTTCAACAGCTCACGGAGATGTTAATGACACTGTAGTCCACCAAATCTCATTAGAAATTTGACCCCAAGTGATAGACAATGTGTGATTTATATAAATTTCAAATATCATTTATTGGAAATTTGGTTTTTTTTGGATTTTAAGCTAGCAAAGTGTGTTTTGTGTGTGTCTGAAGTTAATAATTAACTTGCAATTGTCTCTGTAGCCATGGTGATTTATGTTAAAACAATTTTTGAGGCCTAGCTTTAAGTGCACCACTAATAGATTTTTATCTTAAACTATTTCACAACCCAGCGTGGCACATAGTGGAGCCTCAAGGTTCATTAGAGGTTTCCAAAACTTGTTTTATTTTCAGGATTAGGAGAAACACCCTTGGAAGGTTTATTTTTAAGTTTACTTCATATTTAAAACAGTCCTGTGAAGTCCGTGGATGTAGATGGCTGTGTTGGTCAGTAATCCTGAGAAAGGAAGGATATGGAAACTAGATTACACACAGAAACATAGAAAAGAGGCGCAGGTGCAGGACATTTAGCTCTCGAGCCTGCTCTGCCATTCACCATGATCATGGTTGATCGTCCAACTCCGCTTTTCCCCTATTTCTTTTGATCCCTTTAGCCCCAAGTGCTAAATCCAACTCCTTTTGAAATCATACAATTTTTTGGCCTTGATTGCCTCCTGTGATAGTGAATTCCACAGGCTCACCACTCTTTTGGTGAAATTTCTCCTCATCTCTGACCTACGCAGTTTATCCCATATCCTTAAACAGTAACCACTACCCCTTTTTCTGGACTTCGCCGCCAAGGGGAATATCTTTCCTGCATCTAACCTATCTAGTCCTGTTAGAATCTTATAGGTTTCTATAAGATTTCGCCCCGTCATTCTTCTGAATCCCAGGGTCTAGGCCTGAAACGTCAGCTTTCCTGCTCCTCTGATGCTGCTTGGCCTGCTGTGTTCATCCAGCTCTACACCTTGTTATCTCAGATTCTCCAGCATCTGCAATTCCTACTATCTCCGAAAATAATCCTAATCAATTCAACTTCTCCACACCCATCAGTCTAGTAAACCTTCCTGCATTCCCTCTATAGCAAGAACATCATTCATCAGATAAAACATACAATATACAGAAGTGTCATCACGGTGTCACCGTGGTGTCACCACGGCCCTGTATAATTGCAGCAAGACATCCTTGCTCCTGTACAATAATCCCATAACATACCATTTGCCTTCATTACCTCCTGCTGCTTCTGCATATTTACCTTCAGTGACTGGTATACGAAGATACTTATGACTGATTGCACGTTCCCTCTCTCAGCCTATACCCACTCAGATAATAATCCTCCTTCCTGTTTTTGCTACTAAAGTGGAAAACTTCGCATCTGTCCACATACTGCATCTGTCATGTTTTTGCCCAATCGCACTGAAATGACCTTAGAATAAAGAATCAATGTTAGTCCCAGGCTAGATATGTTGGGATAAAACTCTAAAGAGGTTACATAAATCCGAGTATGTTTAAGCTCAGATGTATAATATATGGGCGTTTGTCTTTTGAGTTAGTAACATGTGGGTTTTCTGTGTGTCTGAAGTGAATGATTAACTTGTCCATATTTCTGTAGCCGTGTTTACTTTATTTTAAAACAGTTTTTGAGACCGAGCTTCAAAATTAATGTTTTCTTGCAGGCCACTAAAAGTGAGCAGTTATCCTGGTTCAGTTAGTAAAGATGGTTTATCTATGTAAAGAAAAATGGCATATTCTTTTCTTTGTTTCATGGGACAAAAGCAAGCTCTCCTGTTTGAATTAAAGGAATCGATTATGTGTTCCAAATAAGTCATACTGGACTGAAAGTAGTAAATCTGCTTCTCGCTCCACAGACACTGCCAGACCCATTGAGTTTCTTCAGCAGTTTCTGTTTTTGTTTCAGTATTTCAGCATCTGCAGTATTTTGCTTTTCTCTGATTGTGATTGCTGTTCTTTAGATTTACCTTACTATGAATTAAAGCGCAGCAACAATTCTTAACAGATTCTGCTCACCAAGCGTTTGATTGATCTATCTTTGGTGAGATTTAGCAGCACACTCGCGAAAGCCATGAACATATGGTTCAGGCTGTAAGGGCTGAGGGTTATGCTATAATATTAATGCAGTTTGTACCTGGAGCAATACAATCCAACTCCTACAACAGTGACACACTCAGATTGCTGAAATAAGCCACTGATTTCAAGATAATATTCAAACAAAGAAAGAAAGGCTTGAATTTACGGCAAACCTGCTCCATATTTTCTTTTTGGGTACCATGACAAGCTGTTAACTCTCGTTTGAGTTCACGGATGAGTTGGTCTGCTGATTTCAGTTCATGGTTAGTTTTTCTTGCCTGCTCCTGGACTGTATTCAGCTCTGACTGAAGCTTGGTAAATTTATCTTCTTGTTGAGTTGCCTGTAGCATGACATAATTACAACTTTAGAAATTGAAACAAGTAAATTTTGAAAGTGACACCCATGTTGTTTTTGCTTAGACAAACAGTGTAAAGCTATTTTGCAAAAATGAAAGTCTAAAAGACTGAATTAAAAATCAGCTGTCTACACCAGTTAGGGAACAAAAATTTGGATCACAAGTTAGCTTTGGATTGTCTGAAATTGTACTAAAAACAATGTTTTTCTCCCTCATGTTGAAAGTATCATATATTGAAAGCAATTCAATTTTAACCAGTAATCTTATTGTTTATACACCTTATTGATGTTCTACCTCTTTAGAGGGGATGAAATACTGGAGATTGTAGGGTAAGAAAATGAGGTGAAAATTGAAGGGCTGCCTTAGAGTACCAGTGGAACAGATTTATTCTCATCAATCTCTGGCTTATCAAAACAAGTTGAGTCACAATACAAGAAATATTAGTGTTGATTTACATTTAATATCCATCTTAGTATTGATACTATCTTAGTTGGATATTATTTATATTTAAATTGAAACACATCATTTGATACTTAAATTGTAATATGGTTGGATCAAGTTGTCATGTGAAGAATAAATTGGCAGGAATCATTCATCATTGCAGACATTTGAACATTCCATATTGTAGTTTACATTCTAGTTTGTTGTAAAATACAGGGCCATTGCTCTGTGTACAAACTCTAAAGCTGTTGTTTCTATTACTATATTACTTTAATTAATATTAGATGTAATTATTCTAAATACAAAGCATTTGTCATAGTATTGCCATATATTTCACTGAAAGACTGGCTGTAAAATAAAAGGTTGGTTTAGATTGGACAGCTGGTTTGTGATGCAGAGTAACAACAACAATCTGGGCTCAATTCCTGCACCGGTTGAGGTTACCATGCAGGATTCTCTTTCTCAACCTTCTCGCCTCATCCAAGGTGTGATGACCCACAGGTTAAACCACCACTAGTCATTTCTCTCTAATGAGAGCGAGGCCCCATGACGATTTTGCCTTTTTTATGGTTTTGAGATAAATGACTCGTATTTTGTGTGATTGATAAAGGAGTGGCTTTTGCAGATGGCCATAGACTTTAATACGCCTCTAGTCAACTGATCTCTATTTGAACATGATTCTCTCTTCAGGGATCTGTGACCATTGTGAGAAGAGCAAGTAAGCAGAGAGTATTTCTAATCAATCAGACAGGAAAATTTTCATCGAGTCACAGAATGGAAAGGAGGAATCTCAACACAGGAAATATAAATTCCATTTTAATCATTGTACAGAAATCAAAATAAAAATTGGTACTTATGCATAGGATTGAAGAAAATATACATAAGACCAATCCAAAAAGCTAAAGGAAATAATTTTCTAGAGCCACAGAAGTTGTTCAGCAAAAATGGTCACATACCATCATATTCTTTCTTAGCTGCACTGGTATCTTGTTATTTGGCTGGGAATACGTATGCCAGAGCAGACAGGTCTCACACAATAAACACATTCTTTAATGTGCATAATTGCATGTCAATCTTAAAGGGACCATGAAGTGCAACAAACTGGTTGCACACAGCAAACAGAAGTTAGAGGGAACATTATTCTCGAAACCATTGAAAACTCAGCTACTCCTGAATGAAAAAGCTCTAATTGTTTCAGCAATTCTTCGAATAAAACAAAAGCATTGTTCACCTAAGTTTGGGGATGATGGTAATATCTGTGCAGATTTATTTGGTAAATACCACAGTCTGTGGAGGCGCACTGTACTACTCACAATAACCTTTGGATTTCTGCATTTAACTGCACATATGCTGATGACAAAATTTCTTGCTGATAGCTTTGCGATTATTTATATAGTAAAATTCAGGGTGTCAGTTTTATCTGAAGTTCTTCTCTCTAGCACTTAGACAGAAAAAAAACTCATTTATTTTAATTTCATTTACATTTCCACCTCACCGGTGGAGTAATGATTTTCAGACAAACATAGCCAATTTTGTCTCTTGCTGATTAACCAGCAAAGGTGTGATGAAATCTTGCATGAATAAGTTCCCATCCAAAACCTCCACAATCTGCAACTCCTATCCGAACATAAACACCAGTGTGATCAAAACTCAACAGAAATTATGGGCCCACAAGATGTTACATGAGAAAGAGAAAAGCAGGAGAAAATAAATTTCCAAAGCTGGAACAGGAATTAAGTTAATTAAATACCAAAACCAAACAAGTAAACTTGGGATTCTAAGTCAGCGATCTTGGATCCAACAGATAACTTTGGAGGACTACATTTTTTGAATATAATAAACTTGGCAAAAAGAAATTAATTTATTATGTCAAGCTAATAACTTGCTCTCAAGTTAGCTTGCTAAAAAGTAGTATGGGTATATTGTATTTCTGCAAAAGAAGTATATTGTTGGGAAAGAGTAGAAGGAAATTTAATTTGCATGTAACTATGCATCTTAATCAGGAATACTCAACACTGACATCAGATGGCTGAAACAGAATATGTTCTATTCCCAACAAGTATACTTTGCATCTTTACGAAGGCAAATTTGCAAAATAAATGCTAAAGAAAGATTGACAATTTGTTATTTTGAAATTGTCTGATACTGCCATTTATTTCATTCAGTAGTATTTTTAAATCTTAAAGGGATATCTTAAACTTTTGCAATGTACCTATGAGGAATTCATTTTTGTACGTTTCAATAATATAAAACACTAAAGATGGGATAGAACAATAATGCCATTCTTACCTCTTCAGTATAATACTTGTTCTGTTTCTGAGCTGTTGAAAGATTTGTTTGGGCCACCTGTAACTCTGATTCACAGTTTCTGTATTCGTTAAGTAAAGCTTGGTGCTTTTTCTGGAACTGGGTTAAATGATCTTCCAGACTTAAAATATGATCCTCCTTCTCCTTCAGCTAGAAAGTAAAATTTTATGGTATGTATTTGCTGTGATATTCTGTTTCTTCTTAGTGGCTCTTCTCACACAGTATTTGCTATTATAATAATTTATTATCAATAAGTAAACAAACCTACATATATACTTTTCAAGATTCTAATAGTCAAAAGTACTTAAGAAGCAATTAATTCTATCATTAAGTATAAAGTCACAATTATGGCAAGTTTCAATTTTTAATGACTCTCATTTGCATGTCCTATAAACTTCCACCTGGACAAGCTATACGGACTCAGTGCCTGGGAATTTACGAGAAGGAGATGGACCCACCCAGTAGCTGGGAAGTTGGAGGCAAGCTTCCATCCATCAGCCCATTCAGTAGCTATTGATTTGGCCTGAAGATGAAGATATATGTAGATACATCAGCTTCTATCAATCAAGAGTCTTGATGTTCCACCTCTATTAGGAAGGGTGACCAGTGTTGGGATTGTACCATGCCCTGGACCAGTGATAATGTACAAGACCTGTAGTAAATGTAAGTAGGGTCCACGATTGTTGACGCTAATCAGGGATTGGTAGGAGGCAGTTGATCATGATGTTTGGAACAGGAGTCTTAGCTGTAACAGCCCTTTCTGAACTAGAGAGCAAGAACAGGATGGATCTGCACTCCCCTCTCCACACCAAGCTTATAGGGAGGCTGCCACCTCCACAGATGTCAGTGTGTTTACCCGCTGCTGGTAAAATACTAATGGGGCAGGTAGAAGTCCTCAAGTAGCCATTAATTGGTTATTTATGGATCTCAATTGATCCAAGGCAGGCAAACTGCTCCCCACCTCCTCTGCCACTGGTAAACTATGGGAAGGTGTAGGAAGGCAGAGGCACACCCCGCTCCCTGCTCACTCCAACCCCCAAACCCACACTATCCTATCTGATTCTAGCCAAGGGGTGAATGGATGCATAAATTGTGGTCAATACATTGGAGTGGGATAAAAATTCACATTGAATATTAGCTACTATTTTGCACCTCCATAGAGCATAAGAACTAGGAGCAGCAGTAGGTAATTCCGCCCCTTGAGTCTGCTCCGTCGTTTAAAATGATCATGGCTGATCTAATTTTGGCCTCAACTCCACTTTCCTGCTTGCTCTACATAACTCTTTAGCCTGTCACTAATTAAAAATCTATTTCCTCCTTAAATTTATTCAGTGTCCCGGAGTCTGCCACACTCTGGGCTTTGAGAGAAGAAATTCCTCCTCAACTCTGTTTTAAATCTGCCACCACTTAGCCTAAAACTATGACCTCTCATTCTAGATTGCCCCACAAGGGAAAACATCTGCTTTGAGGCTATTTTGTCAATCACCTTTAGCATCATATATACCTAAATTAGATCTCCTCTCATTCTTCTAAAGGGTAGTGAGTATAGGTCTAAACTGCTCAATCTCAAATTCCATTTGCCTTCCTTGCTACCTGCTTTACCTGCATACAAACTTTCTGTGATTCATACACAAGGAGACCGGGATTCCTCTGCACTGAAACATTTTGAAGGTTCTCTTGATCTAGATAATAAGACGTCTGTTTGTTCTTCTAACCAAAATGGATAACCTCATACTGATCCATGTTAAACTCCATCTGCCAAATTTTGGCCCCAAAGGACGAATGTTTATCTACTTTTCTAAAAGTTTATGTAAAGTTTTTACTAAGCTAAACACTATAACTGTACAAAGGGAATAAGTCAGATTTTGAAACGCAATGCAAGGTTGTATAAAGCTTTTGTAAGATAAACAAATGGAGAAAATTGGCTGTTGAGTCATCTTAAAACATGTTCCATCTCTTACGTACTGTTTAATTTTAAAATCAGAACTAGTTTAGCTTACATACAAGAACAGACATGCTACAACTGGAGATAACACAGTTATGTGAATTTGAAATGTAATGTTTGCTGCATGAAGGTAAATTTTCAGAATAATAATGGAACATATGTGATAATATTATAGTCAAGACAAACCTATTATTTTGGATGGGGAAGAAAGTAATCCAATCAGAGATCACCTTTTGCAAGAGGCAAGACCCAACTCTATTCAGTTTTTGTGTAACAATTAGGCATCCAGGTACATAACAAAATCAAATTTCAGCTCTCATTTTATTCAAGATGCTCAAATATTAAAATCCTTGCAACTTTGACTTTTCGTTATGTTGTAGGTTAACACAAATTGCAAAAAGCACAAGTGCGAAATACTGCATTACAACTTATGATCATTCTTGGGTCATGTAATAGGGCTGTTGTGAAGCTTTTAAATAGACTATCAGAAATTGTGCATTTAGATTGACAAGGATGACAAGAGTATAATTACATGCGTACGGCATTGCATCAAAAGATAACGTATTCATTATTTGCAGAATATTAAATAGTTCTGGATAAACTTAGCCAAATATATATGAATGCCATTTTAAAAATGCTGGGGAGTTAAATTGTCTCATTTCATTAGCATTCTAAAATATATTCAGATCTATTCTACAGAGGAAGGTATTCATTATTTCAGTTAAATGTAAGCCTATCTCAAGGGAAGCACGTGTTTGAAGGCCAAAGGTTTTTATTACTGATTTTTACATCTATTTGTTTAACCTTTAGCAACCTGCTCAAACATATGTTCTTATTGAGGGAGCACAGTGCACACTAACAGCTATGGTAATTCTAAGCAGATATCAATATCAAAATAATTGATGCAAATAAATCTCTTGATAAATAGGTGTTACCTCATCACAACTATTAATGCAAATATTTATAATTATGAATTTTCTGGGAAATTCATAGAATGTGAGGGGAGACAATAGAATGGAATTGACTTGATAGTTGTGAATGGAAGCGGTCTATTCTCACCAAACTTTTCAGGATCAGGCCTATTTAAATATTTAGAATAAGATCCTTGCGTGTATTGTGTTTTTGCATCTGACGTTTGTACTTCATTAGGGATTTGAAGACTTCCAGCAACTATTTAATCAGGTGGGTCTTTTTTAGGGCAAGAAATGCCTGTGCAATCAGAAGTAAGCAGAGGCCTAGCAAAGCAGCATTATTCACTGATGCATTTGTAGACATGATAGTGAAACAAGAAAGTAGATTTTCTGAAGAAGGGTCTAGGCCCGAAACATCAGCCTTCCTGCTCCGCTGATGCTGCTTGGCCTCCTGTGTTCATCCAGCTCTACACCTTGTTATCCAAGAAAGTAGATGGATCCTTTTACAAGCATAATACAATGGGAACAAGTAAATTGAGTATCAACCCTGTCTCACTCACATTAAAGACATGGCTCTAAGTAAGGAAAATATTCAGGTATCTCACAAGATCAAGTGAGCCCAGTATTACTTTGCACTAAGTAGGTAAGTAAATTATGTGCACCACAAAATATGCCACTATGCAGTGTTTTAACAATCACCATCCATGCCCATTCTGCAGCAGGACACACTTCACAGCAGTATCACTATTTCCATGCTCACATCCTTGGATGTTTCATCCCAAAAACTGTTCCATTCAAATGTTACTGCACAGGTCTAACTCAGGTCTTTTGTCCATGTTTGAACCAAGGCTGTAATGAGATCAGAAGCTGAGTGGCACTGGCAGAACCCAAAATGAGTATCAGTGAGCAGGTTAGTGTTCAGCAGGTACTGCTTGATAGCACTTTCCATTACTTTTCTGATGACCAAGTGTAGACTGATTGGGGTGGCAATTGGCTGGGTTGGATTTGTCTTGCTTTTTATGTGCAGGACATACATGGGCAATTTTCCATACTATCAGGCAGATGCTAGGGCAGTACCTGTACTGAAACAACTTGGCTAGAGGTGCAGCAAGTTCTGGAGCACAAAAAATGTATTAGCCATATTAAATAGTGATGCAGATTAGATAGGTTGAATGGCATAATTCTGTTCCTATATCTTATGGTCGAAGTTTTCAGTACTATTGTCAGAATGTTGTCAGGGCCCATAGCCTTTGCAGTATCCAGTGCCTCCAATTGTTTCTTGCTATCACGTGGAGTGAATTGAATTGGGTGAAGACTAGCATCTGTGATTCTGGGTACCACTGGAGGATGCCGAGACGGATCATCCACTCAGCAGCTAGGGATGAAAATTGTTGCAAATGGTTCAACCCTATCCTTTGCACTCTTGTGCTGGGCTCTTTCATTATTCAGGATGGGGATATTTGTGGAGCCTTCCCTCTAGTTAAAAATTTAATTGTCCACTGCCATTTGTGACTGGACGTGGCAGGACTGCAGAATGTAGATCTGATCCATTGGTTGTGGGGTCACTTACTTCTATCTATCACTTGCTGCTTATGCTGTTCGGCATGCAAGTAGTCTTGTTTGGTAGCTTCACTTGGTTGATACTTCAGTTTAGGTATGCCTGGTGCTGCTTCTGACATGCCCTTCAGCACTCTCCATTGAATGAGGGTTGATCCCCTGTCTTAACTGTCATTGCTGAGTGGGGAATATGCTAGGCCATCAGGTTGCAGATTTGTTGCAGTATGATTCTGCTGCAGTTGACGGCCCACAGCACCTCATGGATGCCCATCTTGAGTTGCTAGATCTGTTTGAAGTCTGCTCCATTTAGCGTGGTGATAGTGCCACACAACTCAATGGAGGGTATTCTTAATGTGAAAGCAGGACTTTGTCTCCACAAGGACTGTGCAGTGGTCACTCTTACCGATATTGTCAAGGACAGATGCATCTGTAGCAAGCAGACTGGTGAGGATGAGGTCAAGTATGCTTTTCTCACTGGTTGGTTCTCTCACCACCTGCCACAGACCCAGTCTAGCAGCTACATCCTTTAAGGCCCAGTCAGCTCGATCAGTAGTGCTGTTGCCAAGCTACTCCCAGTGGTGGACATTGAAATCCCCCGGCCAGAGTATATTTTGTACCTTTGCCGCCCTCTGCTTCTTCTAAATGTTGTTCAACATGGAAGAGTACCAATTCATCAGCTGAGGGAGGACGTACGTGGTAAGGAGCAGGAGGTTTCCTTGCCTATGTTTAGCTTGATGCCATGATACTTCATGGGGTTTGGTGTCAACGTTGAGGACTCGAAGGGCAACTCCCTCCCTACTGTATTCTACAGTGCTGCTACCTCTGCTGGGTCTGTTCTGTCAGTGGGACAGGCCATATCCAGGGATGGTGATGGTAATGTCTGGGACGTTGTCTGTCAGGCATGATTCTGTGAGTATGATTCTGTGTCAGGCTGTTACTGGACTAGCCTGTGGGGCAGCTCTCCCAATTTTGGCACTAGCCCAGATGTTAGTAAGGAAGACTTTGCAAGATCGACAGGGCTGTTTGTGCCATTGTTGTTTACGGTGTCTAGGTCAATGCCTGGTGGTCCGACTGGTTTCATTTCTTTGTTGAGACATCATAGCGATTGATATGACTGATAGACTCGCTAGTCCATTTCAGAGATCAGTTAAGAATCAAATCTCAATCTCAGATTCACATTAACAAGCTACATAGTTTTCTCTGCAAGATATAGTTCATTATTTTCCAAGTATGGCAGCTTCTGAACTTATACAGACTTAAACTAGAGATTCCAACATTAATTTGCAAGAAATGCGTTACCTCAGTGATTTAAAGTTTTCTTGAATCTCAGTTAGCTATGTATCAACTGTTGACAGTTTTAAAACTCATCTCCCTCTCCCCCACCAAGTTTCCTGCATCTTCTTTTTCTACCCTCCACTATCCTCCTGTAGACCCCTTTTCTCCATATACCAAGCTTGCAGGCTCCTTCTCCACATGCCTCTTTTGTAGCTCCTCCACCTCCACTTCCTTCTGCAGCCTCCTTCTCTCTGCCATTCCTTTCACAGCATCTTCCTTCTTCCAAACCCATCGTACAGCCCTTTTCTCCTCCCAGCTCTTACAGTCTTGCAGATTGGAAAAGTTGTGAACAGAAAGTTGTGCACACAAGCCAGTCTATTACGCAAGCCAACTTCCTATCCATTGACTCCATCTACATTTCTCGTTGCTGAGGAAGGGCAGTCAACATTATTAAAGACCCTTCCCACCCCCAGTTATAATCTCTTCCAACCTCCTCCAACATGCATAAGATACAAAAGCTTAAATGCACGTACCAACAGGTTCAAGAACAGTTTCTTCCCCACTGTTATTAGACTCCTGAATGGACTTCTCAAATTTCAAATCTAATGCTGATCGTGTTTTTTCTACACCTTCCATGCAGCTGTAACTTCCTATGCCTTGCTCTGTTCAATCACCCAATGATCTGTATGTCCTTGTATGTTATGATATCCCTGTACAGCATGCAAATCAAAACTTTTCACTGTACTTAGGTACGTGACAATAATAAATCAAATCAAATCAGAATCAATCAAATTTGTTGGAAGATAGTTAAAGTCCAATAAAATATGCATTATTGGTAAAAATAAAACCCTTTTGCATTAAAAATCACAACAATGTATTGCAATCATCCCGATTGTGAGTGAGGCACAGCTACTGTAACAAGAACTGGAGTAGTAGCTTCTAATATGCATTAATTTCAATATTGGCATCTACCCTCCAAGGTGGAAAATTGCCCCATTGCAAGTGGGAGAACAGTTAGGAGACAATGATCAGTGTATTGTGAGGTTCAGGTTGATGGTGGAGAATGTCAGTGGTCAATCCAGAGTAAGAAAAATCAATAGGCGGAGAGTCGACTTCATTAAGGTAAGAATGGAACTGGAATATATAAGACACTTGTTAGACTTCAGCTACAGTATTGTGTATAGTTCTGGGCACCACATTACAGGAAGAATGTAAATGTATTAGAGAGAGCAGAGAAGAGATTTTCAAGATTAGTTCTACGCATGGGAAATTTCAGTTATGAAGATGGATTGGAAAGGTTGGGATTGTTTTCCTTAGACAGAAGAAAGCTAAGAGGAGAACTGAGAGGGTCAAGAACAAGCAAATGAGAGGTGAAAAGGAAACCTTTACACACAAGTGGATCAGGTTCAGAAGTATGGGGGAGGCAAGTCCAATTGAGGCCTTCATGTTTCTATTTAAATAACCATACAATATGCAAGGGTTTGGGGGAAAGTGGAGGAGAATGGTTCTAAGTCCTGAAGTGCATTTAGAGAGCTGGTGTGGACACAATGGACCAAATGGCTTCCTTTCATGCCATAACACTTCTGTGATTCTTCTCTGAATGTTGGAAGAACTAGAAAGCAGCACTTGTTCAGAAATAACCTGCTCAGCAATGCTCAGTTTGAGTTCTGCCAGGGCTATTCAACTCCTGGCCTCATTGTAGATCTGAACACGGACAAAAGAGCTGATTTAAAGAGGTCAGGTGAAAGTGATTGCTCTTTTCATCAAGGCAACACATGGGCTGAGGGGTGGCATCAAGAAGCCCAGGTAAAATTGAGATCACTGAGTATCAATGGAAAAAGGAAAATATTTTCACTAGTTAGAGTCATACCTAGCACAAAGGAAGATGGTTGTGGTTGTTCGAGGCCATTCATCTCAGTCCCAGTAAATTGTTGGAGGAGTTCCTCAGAGTAGTGTCCTAGGTCAACAATGCTCAACTGCTTCATCAATGACCTTTCTTCCATCACAAGGTCAGAAATGGAGATGTTTGCTAATAATTGTACACTGTTCAGCACAATCTGCAACTACTCAGACACTGTAGCAGTCTGCTCCAATGTGCAGAAAGACTTGGACAACACTCAGACTTGGACTGGTAAGTGGCAAGTGACATTCATGCTAGATAAATGTCAGGCAATGCTCATCTCCAACAAGATAATCTAGCCATCTACCCATGGCACTTAACAGTACCCACGGCATTTAACAGTATTATCATCCACTATTAACATCCCAGATGTTAACACTGACCAGCGACAAATGGCCCAGTCATTAAACATTGTGGTTATAACAGAAAGCCCAGGGCTGGAAATTTTAGGAACAACAGTAGGCCACTCGGCCTATTCAGCCTGCTCTGCCATTCAATATGATCTTGGCTCCTGCACCACTTCAATGCCTTTTACCCATAACTTCAAATATACTCAAAGACTGAGCTTCCATAGCCCTGTGGGAGAGATAGATTTCAATGAGATCACCTCTTATTCTTTGAAATTCGAGAGAATACAGACCCGGTTTGCCCAATCTCTCTTCATTGGACAGTCTGCCATTCTGGGAACAAGTCTATTGAATCTTCATTGCACTCCCTTTATGGCCAAAACACCTTTCCTGAGATAGGGAGAACAAAACTTAGCACTCCAGGTATTATCTAACCAAGCTCCTAGTAGTTGAAGCAAGACTTCAATATTCCTGTATTCAATTCCTCTTGTGATAAAGGTTAACTTTCTATTAGCCAATTTGCTGCACCTTCAGGTTAGCCTTCAGTGACTTATTTTGTGACAAATAATTCATCTCCGGTCACCCAAAAATCTGTCCACCATTACAAACCACAAGTCAGGAGTGTGATGGCATACTTTTTTATTTGCCTGGATGAATGCAGCTGCAACAACACTCAAGAACCTCAATCTCTAAAGATAAAGCAGCCTTCAGTTCAGCATCCCATCCACCGCCTTAAACCTTCACTTTCAGTGCCATTGGTAGCAATGTGTACCATCTATTAAATACAAACAGCAACTGGCTAAAGCTGCTTAGACAGCATTTCCAAAACAAAAACAGAAATTTCTGGCGAAACTCATCAGGTCTGGCAGCATCTGCGGGGAGAAAACATAGTTAATGTTTTGAGTTTGGTGACTTTTCATCAGAACTAGACCTCCAAACCCATGACCTCTACCACCCAGAAGGTCAAATATCACATATAAATGTGAAGACTATCACCCGTTCATCAAGTTCTCATCCAAGCACATATCCTGGATTTTAACTACATCGTTGTTCCTTCACTGTTGTTGGTTAAAATCCTGGAACTCCCTTCCTAACAGCACTGTGTGTACCTACACTACATCATTCTAGCAGTTCAAGAAGGAACTTACCTCTTCCTGCTGAAGGGCAGTTAGCGAAGGGCACTAAATATTGACTTTGTTAGCAATGCAAACCTTCCAAGAATAAATGAGAAAACCACATACAGGGAATTTGCTGCTTCTGGCATTTTACCAGCAGTTTTCGAACAATTTAGTCTTTTCTTTTCAACAGCTGCCTTGCTTTTTTCCATTCATGACTACTCTATCCCCTGTATCAGGAAGAGTATCAACTGCTCAAACATCTGTTTGGATCTCTGTACTCCAGCTTAAGTCCAGTAACCACTGCCATTGCAATATGAACTCTAATAATCACGTTACTTTTGTTGACAGTGTATTGTCTCCTGCAGACAAACAGCATTTGTGATCATCTTGCACTGAATTGCAAACATTCCTAGTTGCAGCTGTATATCAAATACATTCAAATCACATTTCTTAAGTGCCAGTGCCCTCCTCACACTCTGACAATCTCGTCAGATTGTTCAGAAATCTCTTTTCTATTGGAGATACAATAATAACTTTCAGGGGAGTACAAATCATGGGAGACAAACGCCTTTCCTTCTATTAGAACCTACTGTGTTGTTCTGAGCTAATGAAATGAGTATGGTGAAATTTCTCAAAATTTGTAAATACTCAAATGATCTTTTATGAAATCCTTGTCACTAATTATCTGACTATTCATATTTATATGCTATGCTCAAAAAATATGCGCACATTTTAATACTACCCACTTACCATCTGGGTATTATCTTTAAACTTGGCATTCAATTCATCAGTTTCTTTTTTGAGCTCTCCTACTTGTTCTTTCAGTTTCTGAGACTGCTTTTGTAATTCTTCTTGTCTCATTTGTTCCAATTTTAATTCTTCTCGAAGTCTGTTGCTCTCACCTTCTTTTTGGTGAATCTAAAAACAGGCAAAATTATAAATAAAGTGAATTCTTCTGTACCCTGGGCCAAATCATTAATGAATATAAAAGCATAAGAAATAGGAGCAAGAGTAGGTCATTTGGCCCCTAAACCCTGGCTCACCATTCAACAAGATCATGGCTGATCTGTCCCAGTCCTCAACTCCTCTTTGATGCCAGCTCAGCACAGCCATCAACTCTCTGATATTTCAAAAATCTATCTACCTCCTCCTTAAATACTTTCAGTGATCTAGCCTCTACAACTCTTTGGGTAGGGAATTCTAGACATTCACCACCCTTGAGGGAGAAGAAATTCTTTTACCTCTCAGTTCGAAATGACTTCCCCTTTTCTGTAACTGTGCCCCTAGTTTGTGATTCCCCACCAGTGGAAGCATCTTCTCAACATTTACCTTGACAAGCCCCCTCAGTTTCAATGTTTCTATGTTTCAATAAGATCACTTCTCATTCCTCTAACTTCACATAAATAAATGCCTAAACTATTTAGCTATTTTTGATAAGTCAACATCTTCATCCCAGGAATCAGCCTCGTGAATGTCTTTTGAACAGCTTCCAATGCCAGTTTACTTATTTTTTAAATACAGGGACTAAAACTGCTGGAGGTGCAGCCTCACTAACACCTTATACAATTGTGACAAGACTTCCTTGTATTCAAACTTCACTCCAAACAATAAAGGCCAAAATTCTAATTGCCTTCTTAACTATTTGCTGCATTGCATGCTAACTTTTATATTTCAGGCACAAGAACACTCAGATCCCTCCGCGGTGAACTTTTTTGAACTTATTGCTGTCCATTTAACTAATAATCTGACTTTGATTCTTATTCCTAAACAGCACAACCTCACAACCCTGTTCTTTCCCACATTAAACTCCATTTGCCAAGGACAAAAGCAGAAGTTGCTGGAAAAGCTCAGCAGGTCTGGCAGCATCTGTGAAGAAAAAAATCAGAGTTAATGTTTTGGGTCCATTCTGAGGAAGGGTCACCAGACCCGAAACATTAACTCTGATTTTTTCTTCACAGATGCTGTCAGACCTGCTGAGCTTTTCCAGTAACTTCTGCTTTTGTTCCTGATTTACAACATCTGCAGTTCTTTCGGTTTCCATTTGCCAAGTGTTTGACCTCTCACTCAATCGATCCTATATCCTCTTGCAGATTCCTTATGTCTTCATCATAACATGTCCTCCCACCTATTTTTGTATCATCAACAAATTTAAATACATTACACTCTGCCCCCTCCTCACTGGTCCAACAAATAAGTCACATTATGAATAAGCCATGGCTACAGCCCAAACTAATTCAGGAGTGTTTTCCACTCCACAGTGCTGACTTTCTTTATTTTAACTTTGTAGCAGGCTTCTAAGGCATCTCCATTTTGGACAGCCTCCGAGTTTGCTTCTCTGCTTCAATAGTGCCCTCATTGTCCTCTTCATGTCTTTGGAATCTGACTTCCACCCTTAAATGAACAATGACTGAGAAGGGCATATGATCCAAGCAATGGTTCCTGAAGCCTCATCATCAGGGTGGTACTAACAAGGGGGCTCAGGAAGTCCACTGAAGCTACTTCATATGAGGTGGTCATCTAATGGAATACCTGCCAGTTCATTGACCAAAAGATAGAGGTGAACTAAGGAAATGATAACCAGAATGTAAGGGTCCTGGCAAAATATCCAAAATGTAACACCACTAGGTAATGTGAGTGCTACTGGAGAAGGTGACTTAAGGAGTGCTGCAAAATTGAAGAGTTATCAAAGACTTCTTCTTCAGTGGTGGGAAGCTGACAAGGTACTCTGGGCTTGGAATAGAGTCTTGATCTTTCTAGGGCGTGTTTGTAGCCATATGTGAGACCCTGTACACACTGTGGCTCCCTAATGTAGCTGATAAATCTAGTCACCTCCATCTGCTGACTCCTAGGCGACTGGTCACCTCTACAAGTTTGCAGTGGGATCCTATGCAATGCCAGGACAGTTGCAGTGGCTGGGGAACACAGCACTTGATTGGGGCCTTAATTCATTGCCTGTCTGCCTGCCAGGATAGACTGGACTACCAATTCTCATAGCAACCAGCCACTGGGTAAATAGCATGCAGTTGGGACAGTTTTGGGGAGCTCACTGTTGGTGAGCTATCCTAAAGGGGTTTCCCTGCTACATTCCTAACCACATCCAAATCTAATTTTGACTCCACGGAATCAGCAAAATTCAACTCATTGTTCACCCACCTGTGCTTGTAGCATTTTAATCTGCTCTTTGCTGGTGTTGACTTCCATTTCCATCTTGCAAATTAATTGCTGGTACTTGAGTCCTTCTGTGGCTGCAGTTTCGTAACTCTGTTTATTCTGAGCATTTTCAGCTTTGAGTTCTTCAATCTGTACTCTATGTATATGAATGAAAAATAAGGAGTCCAATTGAGGATGTTGTTGCCACTATGGTTGACAGCATTTTGAGGACTGTGATCATGGTATCATAAGATCTTGGTTGATTATGGAAAAGGACAAAAAAAACCAGCATAATAATAATTAACTAGGGGAAAGGCAACTTCAATTGATTAGAATGGATCTGTGTCACGTAAATTGGAATCAAAGATTGACAAAAAAAATGGTAACTGAACAATGGACTGTATTTAAAGAAGACAGTTCAGGTAGACAAGATATATTGTCATATAAGGAAGGGCAGAAGAATCCAGAGTTCCCTGTCTATGGAAAGAGACAGGGATTATGATGAAGAAGGCAAAGTGTACTTATGACAGATGTCAGGTGGGTCACACAGCCAAGAACTAAACTGATTATAGAATTTAGGCCTTTTTCCTTGAAGAAGAGAATGTTCAGAGGAAATTTGATAGAGATATTCAAAATCATGAAGGGCCTGGACAGAATAGATATGGAGGAAATGTCCTCATTGGGGGAAGAATCGAGGACAAATCAGTTTAAGGTAATTGGCAAAGCAAGCAATGGCAACATTACAAGAATTAATTTCCCATAGCGGCTGGTTGCGTTCTGGAATGTGAAGACTATGTGTATGGTGGAGACAGGATCAATGGAGGATTTCAAGAGGGAATTGCAATATAATCTAAAAAAGGGAAAAAAAAATGTTCAAGTTACAGGGAGAATGTGGAAGAATGGCAATAAATGAATTGCTCTTTTAGAGAACTGACACAGATACAACATAATGGAAAGCATCCTGACATGCTGTAACAACATTGTCACTTTATAACAAAGTCTAAAATCATTTTCCTCAATCACTGGAAGTAATTATCCAAACACATTTAAAAGTCGTTTTCATGTCAGACTTCTAATTTCACTTTCTGGGCGTCTTTGGCAAATTTACAAGAATTTGGATACTGTGTTACTATGTAACTACCATCAAGCAAACGCATTAAAGAAATATTCAGATGATATTATAATAGCAAAACCTTTGTTTGTGGCTGACTGATGAGGGTAATTCTGAAAACAAAACCTCAATTTAAAGTGTTTCTTTTTGTTTTGATTTTTGTGGAATCAGAAGTACCAGGAGAACTTCTTCAGGCTTCTCCAAGCTGCTCTTGGTTGCCATATCTTGTTGCTGCTCACCTCCAACCCAAAGAAGGAAGGTCTCCAGTCCTCAACTGTTTCCTCGACTTGGAGATGGGTCTGGTCACCAAATATTGTGGGAGCCCAGAGCTGAAAGTCCAGAGGGAATTGTTTTACACTAACAGCCCCCTGGCCCTATTATAATGTTGAAAAGTACACTCTTGAAAATTACTTCAAAGGCCAATTCACCACAGTATGACTCCCTATCATTCTGTGGCGTAGGATACTAATCTTGTTTCATACCTTAGCTTTGTATAAAACAGTCTATTGCAAAGAACAGCTAATATATTTCAGCCTACTGTCTATAATGATGAGAAACATTGATCTGAAAATCTATGTGATAATTCTAACGTAATTTCATGTTACAAATATATTCCTACTGAGATGTTCAATATAATACAATGGATAAAATAGCCTATCCATAATAATGCATGAAATCATGAGCCTTTTTTTTGTGCTGCACTATATTCACTTGTTCACCCTGTCAAAAGAAATATTTCTCACTGAGTAAAGTTCCAACAACAAACAGACATCATAGACATAACTCCTATAATGGTTAATCAATATTGCTGACTGCCAGCATCTTTCCATGCCACCAGACCAGCATAAAGCCCAATCAATACACCAGCAATTACGTTTGCCAGGTTTGCGGTAGAAGCCACTTAAGGAATCATTTCAGGTTTGACAAAATACCTAGTTTGTTCTTCATTCTATCACTTAATTACTAATCTTATCTAATACCTATTGGCATATCATGTAGTTAACACTTTTGTTCACTTACTGTGCAGGCAGTCATCTTCCTGAATGATGATAGGAAAAGATTACTGCAATGATGTCAGATTGCTTTTTTTAACAATTCCCTGAAACAAATACTTACTATTTTATGGCTCAAATATTCCAAACTATTGACATTAACGACAAGGGTTCATTTTGCTACAGTCAAATGGAAGAGTTATGTACGGAATTTACAGAAAAGCTAATAAAAGTATTAAAGAAATGGCATAGTTTAAGAGGTTAGCTGATGTGTATTCATACAAGTAAAACAAAACAAACATTGGATTATAAAACTACGTTCTTAAAGCCAATTGTAAAAAAATATATAATGAATGATACCTGTAGTGCTAAAATCTGAAATTTACACCTGTATTAACCTGCCCACTCTCATTAAGTTACATTTTGTTAGCTTTTTGTTAAGAATGCAGTAACATTGCTCTAGGCTAGAAATTCACAAACTGGAGGCAATGACATTATTGATAGTGGTGGTTAATGATGGGGTGGTTGAGGGTGGGGTTTAGTAGAGAACAATAGCTGCAACTAACCATCTGGTGATACCAGTAATACATACATTCTCTGTTGATATCAAATGAGGCCTGGTCCTGAAAGTGGACGGGGGTCTCCCAACAGGAGCATCAAGTGGCCGACCAGCACATTTTCAGCAACTGGCCACCTGGATGCAATTCTAGGCTATAATCCACTCTCATTTAATTGTTATACAGAGGTCAACCAGTTGACAACAGTTGCTCAAACAAAATTGATTTCAGTGCTATTTATAACATGAGAAACAAAGATTGTTAATTACCAGGGCCTGCATTCAAATACCTTCAGGGTTTAGATTTGAATGAATTTTATGGCCTGGCTGAGGAGAAAAAGCATGAAAAAGCAAGGCATGGCAAGGAAGAGATGCTCAGAACTTCCAAGCAGGAGCAAAGTGAATGAGTGCTAAGAGAGAAAACAAGGAGCTCTTAAATGCACCCTGCCCAGTCATGAGTTGTGTGCCTGTCCCCATGCACAAAGTGTACTGACAACAGCATCAAAATGATAGTTGACTGTGTGCTACAAAATTTAGCATTTAAGTGTCTAACTGTATTCTAATTTTGGTCAGAAACGTACCACACCTTTGTGTTTTAAGATTGTTATGTGTCCAAAGACAAAGTCCATGAACTTTGGGGGTGGTCACTGCTCATAGAACACACCACAAGACATTGCTGTCCGAGGTGGAGGTCTAGAGAAGCAAATGGCAAACTGGAGTCACTAAGTATCTGCTCTGTCTTTTGGGTCGAAAATCGTCACCATCCTGTTTCTATCTGGTGTGTGGGAGAGTGAGAAACAATATATCACAGAGGTGGAATTAGGTAATAGTAGTACGCCAACGCATGCAAATGGGAGCAAATAGGCTTGTCACTGCTTACTGGCAAGTTTCTTGTCTCGCCATTCCACTTGACATTGAGATATCATTTCTGCTAATCTTACCCTATTTTCCCATTGTATCACCAATGTCCATGTTGTCATGGGTTGGAAAGATTCCATCCTATATTACATTTACAACTATCTCATCTCTCCTAAAATCTGTAAATTCATGCAGGCAGTCTGTACATCTCCCACTTCTCTCAGAATGCACTTGCTGTGGACTTGGAAGAATGGTAGATTTTTTGAATGAGGACTGTTAGCTTCTGTTCTGATCTGTGAATCGTTTCTCCACTAGAGAATCTTATATCCTTGAGCATCCTTTGCAGAGGTTGTCATTCCTTTTAGTTCATTCCCTTATCATTTAGTTTTCTGAATTTTCTTTGCAGAAGAACACTTCTCTGCTAATTCAAGTAGTTGTACAATCACAATATCTGGGGGACCTAAAATCTCATGAATGCCCATCATTGGAAGAAATCTGCTTTGTGAAAAAAACACTTTCCTCTTTGTAATATTCTGATTCGTGAGCCAGGGCAGACAATAGTCTTTAGACTGGAGTAGGTACTTGCTACAGAATCCTGGATGATTAGATCAGGCAATTTCTTCTTTTTGGCCATGCCTGAATCTGTGGACAATGCAACTCATCTCACTCAAGTTTTTGATCAAGCTGGACTTCTCCACTTGCCCTTTGTGGTTGACGTAAATGATTTCAGACACTCAGTCACATTACTGAAAGATTGCTGCTCACTCAACACAACCTCTGTCATTGGTGTCGACTGTGCTGTTTTCTGGAAGAAAAACATTGCCTTCAATTCCATGAAGTCTGCGACTTCCTCTACGTTGATAACATGCCAACATCTTACTGGATTGTTTCATTTGTTTATGTTCTACTGTGAGTCCAGGAAGCCCAATGAAATCTTCTCCTGATTGCCCCTTGACTGGTCAGTCAACATTGGTTTCTTTTTTCTCGACTAGTGCTCAAACAGCTGTTTGCTTCTGTGCAAGAGGTTCTCTGGATGGTTTATCAATCCTCTCCAATTCTTCTGATTCAGGTGAGGTTGAGACATGCATGCAAGCTCAAAAATAAAGTTGGTTGAATGTGAACGACGTTCACATTTTCAACTCTCTTGGGTATGTTACATTATAGTGTAACTGCAGCATTCTTATGCTTCTGTCAGTTGCAACTGAGCTCTGTGTGTTATCAAAGCAGGCTGCAGCTTTTACTTCTTCAGCCACAGGAACAGGCCTAATTGGATAGTAACAGTTGTTTCTGTGTCAAGGACAAAATCAACAGATATCCATTAATGTAAACCAGCCCGTCTCTTTTGTCTCATCTGGATTAGCTAGTTCATCAGGGAGTACCTCACGTGTCTTGTCCAGTGGAGGTATATCAACAACCGAAGGTATCTGCCATGAAAGCTAGGACCAGCATCATCAGGGGCTGCTGGAAAAGTGCACTCACCTGCGCTCCATCACCTCAGCCACTGGTTCTCAGCCTGAAGACAGGGAGTGAGGAACTTTGACACCAATCTGAGTGCCTGTCCACATACGGAGGCAGGGCAGTTCCAGGACTACAAAGCTAAAGGTGGAACCACATACAGGCCCCTTGGCAGTTTGCACTTGGGATTCTGCAAAGGTGGCTGAATCCTCCACCTCCACCCAACCTGCCTCTGACCCTTGGAAGTTCATGTCAAGGAGGGTCAATTTAGCTCTGGCAGAAGACCATTAGTATTTCTGGCTTGTTTACACACAAGTACCTCTGGGATTGGAGTATACTCCCTCGAACCCATCTTTGGAACCAAGGAAGACACTAAATTGTAATGGGAGCGAGATAAAGAAGGAAAAGTATTGAGGGCACTTTTGTGACGTGGGTGAAGAAGACTTTTTCTTAACTGGAACTGTGTACATAAATAATGGTGATTTTAATTTTCATGCATCTTCTTTGAGTCTCTCTGTGTCGGTGATCAATGTATTTCCACACCAGTCGGCAACAGTTCATGGTTACATATGAAGCCGAGATGGAGGTCTGCGCTGATAGCCCATTGCACTATCTGCAAACAGGGGGAAAACAATGGAAACACATGGCATTGGGTGCTGCTGACACCTTTGTCCCTCCTGGTTCAACATCCCTTATGCTTGGCTCTGTCTGTGGAAGGTGTAACTTTCAAAGATTTGTCCAGTGGTAGTGTTGCCAGGGAGATGCCATGTACAGAGACGATCGATGCCGTAGAATGGCCAGGGAGTAGACAGCCTTTGTGCCTGGGTGGTAAACTTTTCATGGGCCTGTGACCAATGTTATTCCCCTTTAAAAGCCCGGTCCATGGGTAACTGTTGCAGTCCCCTCCCTCAGAGGTTGAGTCATTACCCTGCCCACTCTATTCTCATGCAGCCATTTTCTTCCCATTATACATTTTTGAATTCCAGCTAGATAGGAGGGGACAGTGAGCATTCCTCTTCCAGTGGCTTTCAGCCTCAGTCTGACCATGTCAGTGAGCAACCCCTCCCCCCTCCAAATATCCACATCCTTTTCCTAGTAGCCGATCCCATCCACCCCATAGGATTTACACATCTCCCACGCCACCACCCACCCATTCACTTTTGCCTACACTAGCCTACCCTTCCAACCTAGACTCTGATATGAAGTGCATATGCATTGACCTGGTCTTCCTTCCCATGAAACCAGGGTGCTCGTGATCGTGGACGAGCCTCCCTTCAGCATTACACCCTTCCTAGCCATGCTCTACTGTATTGTCCCCTTTGAAATCCTGCTTCCCATCACAGTTGCACTGTGCCCTTGCCTAGACCATACATCCCTAGTCCTGAAGACTAAAGTAGTCAGGCACAGTGTCACCATCTCTTCCCCTTGGCTTTTATCTGTAGCAGTTCCTTAAGATCCTAATAATTATGGCGGGCCAAATGTAGTTGTACTTATTGCTATCATGCAATGGATCATCTTGCTGTCTTTGATGCACCTGATGGGCTGATTGTGGCCTACTCCCTGGACTGTAGTGACATGAGCCCCCTGACCAAGACAGCCCTGACCAGATGCCTGACCATGACCAATGCCACTGCATGGTATTGGAGGCTGTCCCTGGACCAACTGACTGACAGGCGCCTCCATGAACTTTACTCCAGATGACTTCCCTTAGAGTCAGATCCAGGCTGCCTTCTGCACATGCACTTTATTTGTCACACATACTGTAGGCATGAGATTGACATAGCATACTGATGTACAGGAAGATGTGTGGCTCCTAGACTGAGAATTGCTTAGCAGCAAGGCAAGCTGCCTGGTTGTGTGACTGAGCTAATTAGAATGGCAAGGCAGGGATGTTATGAACAAACAGATAGGCACTAAGTTAGTGATCTAGGTCTGCGACCTAGGTGTCTATTCCTGTGTGTTAAGTGTTCCGGATGCAACCTTTCAATGCAAGTTACCAGTATATCCTGCAATGCAAGTCTGTGCTTCCAGAGCATCTGTTTTCTGGTTGATGTTGCCTGTTAGTAATATCATGCACATCAGACACCGTTTTACTGTTCAATTTTCAGGCAACACTATATCTTAAAAATTGCCATTTCCATGATGGCCAATCTGTGCTCTGTATGGGTCTTCTTTGATCTTGAATCTGCTAGGAAGCATTATATATTTCTCTGTTTTTTTCTTAAAGTATTGGTTCATCTTATTATTGTAAAGGTCTTTTAATTTTTTATCATTTCAGTATTGTTTTAAATCTACTGTACTCACCATTGCTGCATTAAACTGAATGACAGTAGAGCTTGTTAGATTCGGAAACACAGCAATGGTGCTCTTTGTTTTATTTGCCAATCATTTTAACTCTGTGTTTCTGCAATACTACTTGAATTCTTTCATACAGCTTTACTTTGAATTATTAGTTATTCTGTTATAATTTATTACTTTTAAGGATTTTAAATCTGTCCCTTAAATGCTTTATCTCTGTACTGCTTATTGGGTTTTCCTGTATTTTTAAGTATTTTCCTGCCTTTTTCAACAATTCAAATTAGCGGTTATCCAATGGTTCTATTGGTTTCATACCTTCTGAGGCAAGATGGAATATTTTTCCTTTATTTCTGGGTAAAATGGACAATATTCCACTTTTCATGGTCTAAAACTCCAGCACTTTTCTCAGCACAAATGTTTAAATTAAGCACTCTGGCTGCAACCCTTATAAATTTTTCTACCAAAATCACAGCTTAATTACTGAGACTTAACATTTTCAAATTTTTATTTTTTCCTGACCTTTTCTGACTTTTTCAAAATAGCTTACATCAATTCAATTAAATTCTGAGACTTTTCAGATTCTGTAACTTTGGTCTAAATTTCTTTTCTGTCCTTTTCACTGTTTCTTTTTTGCAGCTCTTGCCTAGTGGTGCCAAATGTTAATGGTAGTCAATGGAAGTGAAAACTCTCTTTTTCACTCCCTTGCCTTCCTATTCTAGTCTTTGACCCATTTTTCATAAATTATTCCATCTATTTCAAGGAGCCTGCAGCTGTTCCTTTCGCAATTTTCCTTGGTCAGGCCTCCGTATTTTCTTAGTGTGGCAAGCTTTTCCCTCTTCCGAGCCTACCTTCTTGCCCTAGTGTGTCTTACTCAGCTTCAGAATAAAACTTTGCCTTTGGAGTGCTGAGCTTGCCTTTTTGCTGCTTCCAGTGCTGCTACTCTCTCTTTAAATTGTTTCAGCTAAAATGTTTCAGCTGCTGACTGTCTTTCTAAAGTGGTAATGCTCTTAAAACAGTAAATTCACTTGCTTGAAATTTTTCTTTATCTTCTGTGTCTTTGGGATCCCATCTCCTTGTGATGGGGGTCAATCCTATACTCTACAGCTATGGTGATCCAGAGGATAATTCCTAGTAGTTTATCTCTCCCAGTAAGTGGTACTGTAAAAGGGTTGTTTGAGGTAATTTTTGGCACTCACCAATCCTCCTTTGCCTTGGGCCTGTCTGGAGATTAGCAGTACAGGATACACCATGGTAAAGTATCTACAGAAGAGGCACTGTACTTAGACAACAAGATGATTTATTGCATGGTAGCAATAAGTACAACACCATAATTACTAGGACCTTAAGGAGCTGCTACAGATATAATTGGTCTTACCAACAGCTACAGTAGAACTCCTTCAACTCCAGACTGCATGTGATATCACTGAAATGGTGGAACCAATGTAACGTGAACATTAACCCTTTCAGCATCATTACCTTATACAACAACATTTTAAAGCATAAAACTATTCCAGTAAATAATCTCAAGTCTGAAAGGAAATAAATTTTATCTGGTTAGTTATTGGTCAATTACTGAATTTAGATTTGTTGTGAAAGTACAACTATTGTCAAAAACTATTCTTAAAGTCCGTGTTTATTGTTCATAATTGACACCTCAATCAAGGACATCAGCTGGCTCAGTTAAGGCAGTTTCTTTCAATTAAAATTCTGTCCAAAATTAATTTATAATTTTCTATGACAAGTTAGAAGTATTTAACAGCGTACCAATAGAGACATGGGAAATAAGCATGGCTAGAAGTTTTGGAAGTTCGTTTTAAGTATAAGATTGGTAAAACCCTCATAGGTCTGCAATAAACATTTAAAAATAGCTATTAATGTTATTTTTTGGTGGCTTCTGCTGATTTGATGCTGAGGAATGAAGTGACAGGGGACCCAGAGAACCTTGCATACTTTTAGGATGATAATCTGGAATCTTAGAAAATGCAAGTCAGAAGAAAAGATCAGGACTTTGTGCAGAATTGCTTAGCTCAGGATTTTGTTTTATACCAGTTGATTGTACAGGGAATGAGCAGCAAGTGCATGCTTCAAGTGAAACAGAGTTAGACATTTGGTATAATTTGCTCATGGTCACATATATAATTCAGTCATTATTTTAAAGTCATACATGTTCTCCTTATTTCTAAGAGATGTTTTAATGTAATATATTAATTTTTATAGTTAAAAAATAACGTGAAACTTGAGGAATAGAAAATCTGAGCATTCTGAAGCAATGATGCTTTTCTGAAGTACAGGCCGAGTAGCCAGACCATTGAGTTATGTGCTCTTTAACTGGAACTTCGAGTCCAAGTTAATTTGGCTGAAATACAAAAGTGGACAAAGTTGGCAGCAACCTGCTTTCTGATCAACAATGCATTAACCATTTCACCTGTAAGCATTGATCTCTTCTTTGTTGCTAGTTTCCCGTTCTTTCAGAATTTTAAGCTCTGATTGTAGTTTACGATTTGCCTGTTCATGCCGGACAATTTCTGTGACACGATCACCGAGCTGATCCTGTGCTGTTTGCAGACTTCTCCCCATCAGTAAAAGTTTCTCCTCATGGTGTGCCAGCTCCTGTGCTGTGAAAAATAAGTCGCACAATAATACTGGGTTTATAATTTTGTAAATGATTCAAGGATTTTCCTACAGTAAATGTTTTTCAGTTTATTACTGCACTGGATGCAACCTTAAAATAAACTTGAGCTTTACTTTTAAAGCTTTTGTTTAAAAGCTCTGAAGAAGGGTTGCTGGACTCGATACATTAACTCTGATTTCTCTCTATAGATGCTGCCAGACCTGCCAAGTTTTTCCAATTATTTCTGTTTTTGTTTCTTTATTTTTCAAGGGTATCTAAAGTTTTATATCCTTTTCTAATACTTATGTTGCATAAAAAACCTAAAGTGCACAAATTTCATTCAAATTTATCTGTTAAATGTTCTACTGAAATAGATTTTGACCGTTATATTCGTCTGCTTCCTATTTATCAGCACAAAAATTTTCACAGAATAATGTTAAAGCAATAAATACTAAATTGGAACAAGAACAGTAAGTGCTCAAAAACTGAGTTCTAAAGAAATTATATATTAAACAAAAGATCTGTTTCCCCCTTCACAAATGCTGCTAAACATGTTGAGTTTTCTTGAGCAATTTCTGTTTTAATTTCAGATTCTATCTCTGTAGTATACTAGGTTGGAGTCTATTAAGTGAATATTGAATGTAACTAGATCTTAGTGAAACTAAGAAACATGTCATACAAATTTTCAAATTTGAGTCATTGATTTTTAAAAATAATGGCTGGACTTGTTACTAATAAAAACCAAAAGAACTCAAGATGCTGTAAATCAGAAACCTAAACAGAAATTGCTGGAAAAGCTCAGCAGGTCTGGCAGCATCTGTGAAGAGAAATCAGTTAACATTTCAAGTCTGGCGACCCTTCCTCAGAACCTGAAACATTATCTCTGATTTCTATTTACAGATGCTGCCAGACCTGCTGGGCTTTTCCAGCAACTTCGGTATTTATTTGTTCCAAGAATAATGGTGAGATTGATATTCATTGTTTTGGGGAGTGGGTAAAATTAGTTGGAGCTTCTGACATCCTGCATCTGCAGTGATAAATGTAGAAATCTGGATGATGCTGCCGGAGGTACCCTGCTCTTCCACATGGTGCACTGTTGCAGTCCTTGCCTTTGACTGGACTTAGCACTAAAATGAACATAATGGCACAGAACCTCATGAGTTCCATAATCAAGACATTAGAAAAAGCTAGCTTTAGTCCTTTATGGATAAGTGAGTTTTGTTTTTAATGTATGATGAGTGATAATTACTGTTAAAAGATCTCTTTGGCTCTGAATGGTTAAAGAACCTCACTAACAGAACCAAAAGACATATTGTAGAGTATGTTGCACGAGATCACATACCAGTTTATGACATGTCTATGCAGTAAAAGTCTGCAAACCTTTATAGGCAACTGCCACAAGGGGAATGGCAAGTGTCAGTGCTTCACTACTGACTGCAAAGCTCAGGCTGCTGTATACTGACTTAGTGTTTAAATATTTCACAAGTAATAAGAGCCCAGAATTGATGTGGCAAAACTTGCACCGCTGACACTGTCCTTGAATAACATATGTTGTGAAAATGTATTGTGCGAGTTGATGATGTGAGAAAAATCTATAAAAATGATACTGAGGAAGCAAACAGATTAAGAATTGTATTATCCTAACAAAAGCAGTATTAAACTGAATATGCTCAAGCCATTATTAATATATTTTGTTAGCACTAATTTGAGAGACCTTGTTTGCTAGTTGCAGAACGTTGCTGTATTTAAATTGGCTACTGGGTTACCTACATAACGACAATTATTGTATTTTAGAAGTTATGAATTGATTGTGTAGTCTTTTGAAATATCCTGAAGATGTGATGAGATGCTAGATAAATGTGAGCTTTTTTGTTGCCTGTACATATCATTAGTGCACCATCGCTTACCAGAATTGTAAACTGAATAAAGCTGGAAAAGGAAACAAGAATGCTGCTATGAAAAATGCCTCATGATTGAAAAACTGGGCAAACTAGTCAAATAACGAATGTGTGGACTATTAATTCTAAAACACAAGACAAAACATGCAGCACTCTTACACAATGTTTCTTCGTCATTGGTTAACATGTTATTGATTACTGCAAATCACAATTTCAACATGTCATCAACAAGGAACAATGAAAAATAATTTACACATACGCTTGCAAAAGCAGCATATTAGACACCATTGTTAAATTCTGAAAGTGAGGATTACTGCTTAATTTTTATTAAAATGGATACTTTTGATTTTGTGTAGAACATGCTGCTCACCTAGCTTATCTAACTGCATGCATCAAATTTTGTGTTGTCAGCAGGTTTCAGATATTTTCAAAGCGCTATCATTTCTGTAAAATGATCAGGAACAGACTTGTAGTGTACATGTTAGTGAGCACAATAAATCACCAACAGGGGGTGTTAGTTACTGCTGTTTCACTATAATAATGTAGGTTTGCTCCATTCTCTCCTCTCTAAGGAGGCATTACAACAGACGGCTACTGAACTTGCTTGGCCCATAAATCTGTGTCGAATGGATCAAAAATTTAATCAAAAGGTACGTAGCAGCTGAAAAATTCCCCATTTACTCCATTTCCACTCCTCTTTCTGCGGGCGAAATGATAAAACAGTGCTTTTGTATAGCTGGGGAGAAGATGTGGCCCACAGGGAAAAATCGTGAGGACGACAAAATTTGTAATAGAACTGAAATATACAGAGAACATGGAGAACATCTCCTGTAAGCTATTGATTCTTCTTCGTAATCTTTCCTATCTTTACCATCAGTCATTGCATGTGTCTTAAAAATAATCATATGCTTTATTATGTAGCCAAATTAGTAAAATTAACTTTAATAAAAAGAAACTGAAAATTAAAGAGAGAGAAATCACAGCTGCTAATACTTTAAAAAAATTCTCCAAGGCATGCTTCAGATTGACCCTCTCCCCATGGGTAGTTTTAATAAGCTCCAAAATCCCATCCTTGTTAGTAAAGCCAGATAGTAAGAAATAAAAAGGTTCATCAATTCATTGCCTGAGGCATTCTTACATTTCTAATACAGCACAGGACATTTCTGATGCTAGGCAAAAGGTTAAGCACTGCTGTATCTCTATAATATATAACAGATATATAAGGTCTAGAAACAAGATTCCCATGTCTTCTCCAGGTCAGAGTCACAAAACAAAAACACTAAGATTTGAGATACAAGCATGAATAATCAAAATAATCATGAGAATTTCTCAAATATTTTTCAGCCTCAATGTGTTTTTGAAATTTTCATCAAAGCATTTAGTTAAGTACACCAAATAAAGGTAATTAATAAAAAAAAATGTGAAAAACAAAGCAATTTATGTAGTTTCATTAGGCAGGTGTTCAAGGCATGTATCTTCAGCATGTGCAGGAAACCCATATACTTTCAGATCAATTTTTGCAGCTTAATTTATTTATATAAATAATTACCAACTGAATAAGGTGAAGGAGAACAGATCTTCAAAATATCTTTTAATCTCCAGCATTTTACTATAGGCATTGAACCATTGTACTAGTACTGTTTTACATTGTTAGCTCAACATACAGATATTTCTGTCCAAATTTCAGATTTTCTTGGCGTCATTTCCTTTGCAACATTGTCTGAATTGGAGCAATTGCCATAAATCACTTTTATTTATCAAACTTTATAAATTTCAACATAATCAAACACATTTATTGGCAAAAGAACTTTAATATTGCACTCTAGCTGAAGATATTAGTTATAGTTATTTTCCAATCAACCTGTTCAGCGATGCTATTACACACCTCTGGAACAGGTAGGATTTGAACCTGGGACTCCTGGCTCAAAGTTAGGGGCACCACTACTGTGATACAAGAGCTGCTAAGTAGTTAGTTACATGCTTAGACATGCTAAGTAAGTTTTATGATAGATTAAGTAAAAGAGTTAATCTGCTTCAACAAAAATAACCATAGTTTCTGAATAAGCATGATTCCTGTTTCCTGGGTTTAATTACAATTTTTTTATTGCCACTTATTTATCATTGGCAATAGAGAGTTATTTTTCAGGATCATTAATCCTTGACCAGGTTATCCCTTTCGTACTCAAAACTGATGCACAAATACCCTGTTTAAGGGTTTGGTTGACATTTGGAGGTCATGGGATATTTAGAGTAAATTTTGGGAAACTGCAAGCTTGCCAGTTATACACAAGAATCACATGAATGATCAAATCAAGAGGTAGCAGGTCAGGGAATAAAATGGGAAGATAATATAATTAAAGAAACAGCTCATCACAGAAATCTATAAACGTACAAATTGACTGCTCATTCTACTATAGAAACCCTACAATCACTTGACAGAGTAGGAATTCTCCTTGCACTGTTTATATCTAAGAAAGATAACTCATTTTGAACAAGGTATCTGACTGTCACAGTGTTTTTGCCTACAGGAGCAAGCCCTCATGCTTACATATGATGACAAGGATGGGATAAACCACATCAGGACTGTAGCAATGAGGAGGCCGATTAAGGGACGAGTACCTTTACTTTACTAGTTGCAGTTAGGAAAGGTCTTCCTCACAGGTGAAGAACCGGCAATTTAGATGGATATCAAAGAACCAGTGCCTGGAGACTTGAACTTCAAATGATCAAAGTGCTTTCAAGGTAGAGGAGAACTGGAGGGTGGTATGCAGGGCTGCCAGGGTAGATCAGAACTGTTGCATGGCAGGCCAGAATCACTTGGGTGTAGATCTGAACTGTTTTGTGGCAAAGGTCAGAACTGCTGCAGGTAGGGGCCAGGGGCAAAATATGGCCATAAGAATAAGAATAATAAACTCAAGGTAGTGATGAGTGGAAATATATAGATACATGAGAAGCCACTACCTTTAGTTGGGTACCGGAGACATTGATAACTAAACTCCTGGGTAATCAAAAAAAAAGGGAAATAGGCCTGTTGAAGAAAACAGGACATAGGATCTTTTACTGAATGAAAGGGATAAATGAGGGGCTGGGAAAATAGAGCTCTTGA